ATTATTATTATTATTATTATTATTATTATTATTATTATTATTATTATTATTATTATTACTAACAAAATTAAGATTTTTCACTCCAGCTGTAGTTTTACTTTCATTTTGCTAAACCACTACTGTACTGAAAGGTGTTATGATGGACCTTTAATAGGCTTGGGAATCAAAATAGCAAACCTAGCAGCAGCGGCCAGGAACTTTTGTGGTGCAAGCACCGCAGTGGCATGCAGCTGTCCCAGGAAAGGAAGTTTGTCTTCACACACCCCTTTCATTCCCAAGAAAGCTCCTGCACTTTTAAAGGCACAAATCCTTTAAAAAGGGGGCATGGTGGGCTCCGTCATTCTTTGCTCTGAGTCAGCAGTTCTTGGTGACGCTCTCCTGCTCTTCCTAGAGCCAAGGGTCAGGAAGACTTGTCTTCCCAAAGGGCTTTCTACAAGGAAGGGTATTAAAAGGCACAGGAGCCTCGGCAGACAAAAATATGGCAAGGCGAAGAAAGGAAAGGAATCGGAGGAAAAGGGGGTGGGCCGGGGAGATGCGGCGTCGGGGTCCTGCTCGCCTTTGGTGGAGACTTTCCAGCTTTGCGCGCTGAGCGCCGGGGCTTCCTCGCTCCGCGGCAGAAACGCGCGCCTGAAGCCAGAAAAGATCGGACCTGCGGAACATCTGTCTCAGCAAAGCAAGTGTTCAAAGGCAAGAAGAGGGGGGAAAAATAAATAAATAGCCTCCGGAGCTTCGTTTTTCAACGAGGGCGGGTGCGTCATGGGCCATCCCGGGGCTTCGGGCAGGGCGCGCCGGTTCCCGGGAAGTCCCNTCCGCCGGCCGGGAGGCGCAGGAGGCCGGGCTCCGCCTCGGGCGCCGGGTGACGCGACTGGCGCCGTCATCATCATCATCATCATCATCCCCGCCCCCGCGGCCGGGCCTTGCTCAGCTGTGTTGTAGGCGAGGAAGGCGCGCCCAGGTAGGGAGCCGGGCTGGTCCGGGCGGCGGAGAGAGGAGCGCGTTGCCAGGCGGGCCTTGGAGGGGGAAAGAGCCGGGCTCGCCCAAGGGTGCCGCCTCGGCCCGAGGGCCGGAGTAGCGAGACCGGCTTGCCAGCAGGACGGGGAGCGCGTCGGGGGGTGTCCCCGGTCGTGCCCTTGGCCCGGCTTTTGAGAGCAGGGAGAAGAAGAAGAGCCCGCGATCCGGAGCGGCCGAAGCATTGCGCGCACCCCCCAAACGAAGCAGCTGGAGACGGCGGGGGGGGGGCTGCTTGAGAGTCAAACCAGTAGACCCGTTGGGGGATCCCCAGTGTGGTGTGGATCGTGGTGGGCTTGGGTCCCTAGTCAAGGTTCCCAGGAGACTTGAGTTCGAATCATCGCTTGGCCATTAAAAAAATAATAATTATCACTGGGGGTGGTTCTGGTAAAAAACACTTTATAAAATACCCCTCGTACCTTGAAAGCCCTGTTAGGGTTGGAAAAAGTTGGCGGCACCGTGGTAGGTGTCTGGCCCTTGGGAGTGTCAGGGATCGCTGATGGGGGACAACCCGGTGGAGCTTTGGGGGTTCAGAGAGGAGGTGAAGCTGAAGCAGCATCTGCTCAGGGCTGGAATCTTGACTTCCGTGTGAAGACCAAACAAACTTTGGGGGGAACCAGAAGCGGCGGCTCTACTTGAGTATGCCTGGGGGTGGGGCTTTTTCTGGAACAATCACAACTGTTTCTCTGACATTTGGAAAATGAAAAGTGAAACCCCTGAACCAGACCAGGCAAGAAGCCTCGCAATGGCTTTGTTTACAAGATGAGTTTGCATATCTTATCGCAAAGCTGTTTGCAGGAAGAGCAATAGTTATTCTTTTTATTTTGAACACACAGAATCAGGACAATACAAGATGAGTTTGCATATCTTATCGCAAAGCTGTTTGCAGGAAGAGCAATAGTTCTTCTTTTTATTTTTGAACACACAGAGAATCAGGACAATTTTTTAAATATACAGCATGTCCTATCCTAGAACCATGATGATTATCTCCAGACCATGGCTTGTTTTGAAGCAGGTCAAGCAGGTCTGTGGGGAAGTTACATTTGGACAACAGGTCTTAGAAGTTGCTTTCTGAGAGTTCTAATTGTAAGACTTGGCTCACATGATCTGTTTATTCTACAATTCCCCCATTTAGACCATTGTTTTGCGATCGCATTTGTCGTAATGAGGGACAATCGTTAAGCAGGCACGACTAGTCATGTCTTGCCCTTATAAACTTTGAGAATGAGCAGCAGCAATGTGAAGACAACCCTAACACAATCAAGCCATAGTAAATAAGCAATAGGCAGATGAATGGTGTGTACCTTTTGGGTTGTGAACAACAGCCGTGGGAACATGGGTGGCAAGTTTTAACACTTTCCATACTAGAAATAATTTTTCCCTCCCTTCTTTTCAAGGACTTTTTAAAAAGCTGATCAAATGAAAACTTTGATGAACATAAAACAACAGTTGGGTGAAAGATTTTTCTCTTTTGAGAGGCATGAAAAAGCTTTATACAACAAGGTTTTTGTCACTTGAAATATTAAGAGCTGCATGGTGAAGGGAAGACAGTCTATAGGGGTGAAAGATTTTTCTCTTTTGAGAGGCATGAAAAAGCTTTATAAGACAAGGTTTTTGACACTTGAAATATTAAGAGCTGCATGGTGTGAACATCTGTAGGGAAGACAGTCTATAGATCTAGGCAAAGGTTCCCCTTGACAATTTTTGTCCAGTCATGTTCGACTCTAGGGGACGGTGCTCATCCCCATTTCCAAGCCACAGAGCCAGCGTTTGTCCGAAGACAATCTTCCGTGGTCACATGGCCAGTGCGACTTAGACACGGAACGCTGTTACCTTCCCACCGAAGTGGTCCCTATTTATCAACTCGCATTTTTACATGCTTTTGAACCGCTAGGTTGGCGGGAGCTGGGACAAAGCGACGGGAGCTTACTCCATCGTGTGGATTCGATCTTACAGCTGAAGATCTACAGACTTTACAGCACAGAGGCTTCTGCGGCTTAACCTGCAGCGCCACCACGTCCCTCGCAGCGCTCTACAGACCTAGAGAGTATTAATTCCCGTTTACACTGTAGCATAATCAGTATCTAGATCCAATATATGTTTCTGTACCCAGTGGCTTATGGGTTGCAGTAGATATTTTGCGCTTCTCTCTTTGTTAGGAGTATCTGCACAGTTTTGTTTGTGCAAAATGATGCCTTTTCCCGTTCTAAAATTCATAAATATGACAAATAGTACAATTTCTTTGGCAAATGTAGGTTATGAATGCAATTATTTACGTTGCTGAAGCCATAAAATAAATTCAATTCTGATTTAAGAATTAGTATTGCATATACCTCCTTTACCCCTGAAATTTCTGCTTTTGCTTGGAAAAACAAATTTCTCATGTTTTCGGAATATCTAGACTTGTTACATTCGTTAATAATTATGTGCCATTAGGTCAGTTCTGACTTAGGGTGACCCTTTTTAGGATTTTCCAGGTAGAGGATATTCAGAAGCGCTTAACTCTTCCCTTCTTCTGGGGACTGTGCATCTTTCCTAAGTCTACACAGGCTGATTCTACTCCCAGGAGGCTCCATGAGGAATCAAACTCCCAACCTCTGGGTCTTCAGCCACAGACCTAAACCACTGAAATCTCCAGCCAGCTATTTGAGCATCTCTAGAGGGCCACTCAACGAAACAACACACTATTCATCTGCCTATTGTGTATTTATTGTGTTTCATTTTGTTACGGTTGTCTTCACATTGCTGAAATATTATGAAGGGCAGGGTATGACTAAAATAAAACAAACAGATAATGTAACTTGATTGATACATTAGCATCCCGATGAAATTCTTTTCTACCTTAGAGTGGCCCGTGGGTCCCCTTTAAAATGCCAGTGGCCTTTGAGAAGAATTTTTCATCAAGATCCTGCTAGGCAGAGGCTGGTACTCTATTGTGTCATGCAGTTGGCTCGGTGCATTCCCACAATCTGGTGACACAAGCATTCCCCAAACGACCTTGCACTGCTTGTGCAATATGTCACACCACCAGTTGTGCAGTCGGTGGCATACTTAAATAAGACCTAACCTGAAAATAAGCCCTTGTCTGATTTTTCAGGATGCTCGTAATATAAGCCCAACCCCCCAAAATAAGCCCCAGGTAAGTGAAACCCTGCCCTCCACCCTTGGGCAGCAGCCAGAAGAAAATAACATGACTGTAATTGAATAAATGTAGATTACTATACATGAAAATATATATATAATTATCCCCAGAAAATAAGTCCTAATGCATTTTTGGAGGAAAAATTAATATAAGCCCCTGTCTTATTTTTGGGAAAACAGGGTAGATCTGATGGCATGGGAAAACGCACCCTGGCCCTTGCTGTCTCAGTCAGATACAGGCAGCTGAGTTCCTTATCTCTCGCCCTGGTTCACGAGACGGTTTTTGTGGTGTTGTTGTGGTTAGTCTGTTGGATTATGTTCAGGGAGGCTTAGTTTCCAAAGCCCCACTTGCCCATCAACCTCCTCTTCCCCAATCTTTGGTCCAGCTCTGACTTCCAACTGTGGGCTATTAACTGTTTTTTTAATCAGTGGTCACATTGGAGTTCTGTTGTGATGGGAGCGTGGAGGAGGGATTTCATAGGATTGAATGCCTCTTGGTACATTTCAAAAAAACACTTTTATTTTCTCACATATAAAAGTTAGTCCCTCAAAGAGAAGCGTACAGCGGTGCCTCTCTTAACAACGTTAATTAGTTCCAGTGAAATCGCTGTAGAGCGAAAACGTCCTAAAGCGAAATAAAAAAGCCCATTGAAATGCATTGAAAACCTTTCAGTGCATTCCAGTGGGCTGAAAACTCACTGTCCACCATCCATAGGGGCAGCCATTTTCCATGCCTGTGCAGTGAGAAATCCGTCCCTCAGCTGTTTTTGATCGTTGTAAAGTGAAAATCGGTTCCTGAAGCAGGGAACCGATCATCACAACATGTTTTTGCCCACTGGAATCGTTTTGCGATCGCAAAAGCGATGGCAAAAACCTCACCATCAAGCGGATTAATCCTTAAACGGGGTAATCGTAAAGCGGGGCACGACTGTATAGCCTTTTCTTGCCCCAGTACTAGCTGGGAGCTTTCTTTCTGAACAGGAACTAGGCCTAGGTAGGCCCCAAAGATCAGATCACACTCTCAGAGTGGAGAATTATGAGAATGGTAGCCCAAAAATGTCATTTGCATTGCATACATACAAAGCAGGGCTTGGTGGAGTTTCATTTTTTGAAGTGTGATTGCTAGAATCTTTCGTCTGTGCATGAGAGACTCTGATGGACCATTTAAAAAGCGATTAGTCCATGCTAAGACATGCATGACCACAAGCGTGTGCTTGTGGGCATGAGCTGTTAAGGTACTCTATGTGCTGAAACTTCTTTCAGGTGTGGCTTGGGAAAGATGCCTATAAATCTGAATGACGTGATGCAGCTGCTGTGCCATATATCGGAAGAGCGGAAGATGAAAGCGGCCATCAAGCATTCTGGGCGGGGGGCCCTTGTGGCTGGGGCCACGGCTTTCGTCGGAGGTTTGGTGGGAGGACCACCTGGTATAGCTGTAGGTAAGTGAATGTCTCCTATAAGAAAAAGAGTGTTTGTGTGACTGTGGTGCAGTACCAACAACAATGCTTCCTGCAGCACTTCAAAGCCTAAAAGCTGTTATGTCACATAAGGGTTCACGGACTGCAAGACTTCGCCTCCGCATGTATTTGTTGAAGTTGGCTGCAATCCACAAAAGTTTATGTTCAGCAAAATTATTTTAAGGCAGTGCGAGGTTTGCTTTTGCTAGAGGAGAACCTCGGTCAAAGCCTCCCCCCCTCACCCGCTTTCCCATTGTTATAGCATTATTGACTCACTGCCTGGGATCCTGTTGCATAGGGCAGCCGGCTTGCTAACTGGGGCTGGTTAAAGGGAACATTGGACTCCCCTGTTACAACAGCTCCACTGGCTGCCGATCCATTTCTGGACACAATTCAAAGTGCTGGTTTTAACCCATAAAGCCTTTGGCTTGGGTACAAGCTATTTAAAAGATAGCATCTCCCTCTATGAGCCTGTCCCATAATTAAGATAATCAGGAGAGAGCTTTCTCTTGGTTCGTCCACCCTCATAGGCCCGCTTAATGGGGACACTGGAGAGGACTTTCTTCTGTTGCTGCTTCTGGACTCTGGAACTCCCTCCCACTGGAAGTTAGACTGGCCCCATCTTTGCTGTCCTTCCGTAGGCAGGCAAAGACCTTTCTCTTTAGGCAAGCTTTTCCTTGGTGACTGGCATTCTGAGGGATTTTGGATGGGGTTTTGGGTTTTTTTGTTTTTTGTTTTTGTTTTTTGAATGAATTGTTGTGCTCTGATGTTTTTAAATGTGTTTCTAAATGTGCCGCTTTGGATCCTTTTAAGGAGAAAGGCGATGTAAAAACATTTTAAACAAACAGTCTAGTAAGTTACATTTTAAGAATACATTTGTTGGAATCTTTACTATGCTAAAGTAAGTTGCAACTTGGCTGAGTGGTTAAAATGCAGTACTGCAGTCAAGCCTCTGCTCACAAACCGTGTTTGATCCCAAGGCGTTCAGGTACCCAGCTCAAGGTTGACTCAGCCTTACATGCTTCTGAGGTCAATAAAATGCCAGAAGCCAAGTGTTGTTTGCATAATTATGTTGTAAACCACCCAAAAAGTGCTTTTGGGTCATGAGGTGCTATATAAGTCAAAACAACAACAACAACTAGAGTGGCCCCTTTTGAATCAGTAGAATGCACAGAGGTCACCAAATCTCTATTGATTCAGTGGCCCTACTCAAGTGCAACTTGGATTTCAGCCAATATGGGGAGGGAAACGAAGTATTTTTAAATTATTGCCACTGAGTAATGGGGACATTTATCCTTGGCATGCTTGAAGTATAAACACTAGGCCAAGAAAACATGTTGTTTACGGGCGATGTTTGCATATCTTGTCTCAAAGTTGGATGCAGTAGCATGAAGACTGAGAACAGCAATTGGTCTGTTTCCTTAAAATGTACGTGGCTGGGACGGTTTTACTTTTGTCCTTCATGTCTGTCCTGCTCCTGGTTATGGTCTGAAGCCGAGGTTGGAAAAGTTACTTTTTTTGGAATATATGTAGTTCCTAGGATTCTTCAGCCACTGTGTGCACTTTCAGAGAGTTGACACCAAAAGTAACATTTCTTTTCTGAAAGCATACAGAATGCAGTAAGTTTTGCTGAAACAGGATGGATCTCAGTAGCCTGAGCGCTCAGACAGAAAATTTCCCAAGAATATGTTTCTGGCTTAAATTCTGTGGGGGAGAAAGTTGGAATATGTCTTTGGTAAGCATTTTAAAATTTATGACCTGAAAAGGTAGCAGAGTGGCAGGAATGGCAAGCTAAGCAGAAGTCTCTTGGGGCCAAACAAGCACTGCTATGCATTTATTTAATGTGAATGGTTATTGCATTTACTTCAGTATGCACAGACCAGAACCTTGT